ATTCGTTTATCGCACAGTATAACACCAACTGATGTAATACTTCAAATGCAATGATAAGTTATCTCTTGAATTACATCTCAGAAACTGTGTTGGAAATTTAAATGCTGATCCATTACATATAGATTACCGTTTTACATCATTGTATAAACCATTCTGATCGCATGTAAGCAATTATTTCTCAGAGACATAGCCCAAAGACTTAACATTTTATAGAGATAGATCCAGAACTAATAATATTAGAAGCAATTATCTGTACCTTCTCAAAGTTGTAGACAAGATTAACTCAAAATTATTCGAGCAAAACCGGTCTTTTGTTAAAAGGAAGAATGGTCAATAGAAATTGGTCCTTTTGAGTGACATAATCGAGTATCATCATCGATCCATGTCGTTGAACAATGGAAAACTTTGCTGTGAAATTAGTGAAGATAAAATAGCCGTTTGTGAGAACTCAGCATGTTCGAAAGTGTTAGTTTCCGTAAAAATATTTCAGATCTAAGACATGCTCAATGAAAATCGTTTTCTAGGCACTTTTCTTGGCCAAAACACATGGACTAATTACCTATACTTACAATTCGAGTACTATCTGTGTAGTTTATCGCATATACTTTTGGTTTCATGCGCTTGTGTTCACTGATGCGTACATATTGTCTGCCAGATTTTGCAACCCAAATACATAAAATAGTTTACTACAAATATTACTGTAGCTACTATACATTTGTTTCAAGGATATTGTAAGGACCGTTTGAACTTGGAATTTCTAGTTTCTGCAGTGTACTTCTGTATTCTTGTCTTCGATTTCTATAGTAAACTTTCCTGGGGAATTTGTTCCGCTTCGCTGAGGCCACTGCTCAGGTTTCTTGTTTTGATTTTGTCTTGATTGCTTTGTGTAGAGATCCATCCTCTTTGGCTTTTTTCTTAAATGACAATATCTTTCATGTCAACTCAGCTTATTTTAGGGTTAGGCAAAATTCTATATTATATGAAACAATTGTATATTTTTATGATCATTAACATGATGTATAGCCTTTATTATGCTGAAATTGCTGCTGGACATATCTTTGAGTCATTGGGGGCTCTTTCACAGCCTCTGAAATTTACTAATTTCCTCAATCGATGAGATATTTTTCTTGTCTTCTGAATATTAGTTAATAATAATAATATTTATTCAGGAAGCTCCACTCACCGAAGTGTTTTTCAGGGAGGTCCTGTAATATATATCTATATTATACATCGTATTCGTAAACTATACGTCTATGCTTATTTAAAAACTATAAAATATTTACAAGTGGATTATATATAATTATACTTCATAGTTAGAAAAAACTCAACTTACTTAGATAAATCGTTCAACTTAATTAGATAAATTGTTTTAGTTTGGATTTAAAGAGATTAAGATTAGTAGATCGTTTCAGTTCAATAGGTAAAGAGTTCCATTCTGATACCGAGTGATAAGTGAATTGCTGTTTTCTCCAATTCGTACGTGGGCGTGGAAGGTAGTAATTGTTATTCTGGCGTGTTTTATGGCTATGTATACGGGAGATTATGGTAAGGTTAAAATCAAAGTCGACCAGATGGTTAAGACATTTAAAGATGGAGATACAACGGTGGTATTTTCGACGTAGGTAAAGGGGTTTCCACTCTAGAGTTTCAAGGGCTTCGGTAGCGGAGGAATGGCGAGGAAGATCAAGGATAAGTCTTGCAGCGTTATGTTGCAGAACTTGAAGGTGGTTCATTAGAGTGGAGTTGTTTTTATCTCCCCACACGATATCACTGTAGTCCAATAGAGGGAGGACTAGGCTGTTGTAAAGGGTGAGTCTGGCTTGAATAGGGAGTAAAAATTTTTTGCGGCAAATGAGACCAAGGCATTGATTAAACTTCTTGCTGATGTTGTCGATATGTTCTGACCAGATTAAGTTTTGGTGAATTGTAACTCCTAAGTATTTGAAGGAGTCAATTCTATCAAGTATGGAATCGTTAACAGAGATGGAAACATTGTCAAATTTTGCAACTTTGCGAGAACTTCCGTAAATTACAAATTTACACTTGGAGACATTAAGTGTCAGAAGATTTCGTTAAACCATCTGCATAAGTGTTTTATATCAGAATTTCATTTCATTTCAAGATCGCAAGCATTATTTGAAGAAAAATATATCACAGTGTCGTCAGCGTATAAGGAAATTTCACAATTGGTGAAACAATAAAGCAAATCATTAACAAAAATAAGAAAAAGTAGTGGACCCAAAACACTAACTTGAGGAACTCCGACAGGAACGTGTTTGAAGGAGGAAACAGTGTTGGCCAGGGCGGTTAAGTTGATTTCTATTGCTTAGGTATGACTTGAACCAGTTGACAGAATCATTGGAGAGACCAGATGAGGCAAGCTTTTCAAACAAAAGAGAATGGTCGACAGTATCAAAGGCTTTAGCCAGGTCAAGAAAAACAGCTTCAGTTACTAAACCCTTGTCCATGTTAGCCAAAATGGTGTCCGTGAAATGTGCGAGCGCAATCTCAGTGGAAAGTTTAGGTCTGAAACCAAACTGTCGTGGTGTTAGTATTTTATTGTCAATAAGGTAGCGGTAAACTTGAGAGTGAACTGCTTTCTCAAGAACTTTACTGATTGTTGGGAGTATCGTGATTGGTCTGTAATTGCTAGCATTGGATTGGTCTCCAGATTTAAAAAGCGCTGTTACTTTGCCAGACTTCCAGGTTGATGAGTGAATGATTGAAAAGTTTGGTTAGGATGGGAGTTACAACACTGGAAGAATCTTTAAGTAACCAAGCGCTGATTTTGTCGAGTCCTACAGCTTTGTTGGTTTTAATATTGTTTAGAACACCACACACATAACTTTCTTCAATTGGCTGGAAAACAAATTTGTTTTCCCTAAACTGACTAGGTTGCTTGATAGAAATCCGATTTGGATACAAATTTCTTATCTTAGATGCCAATTTGGATCCTATGCTTGAGAAATGGTCGTTTAATGACTCCACTATAGACTTTGGGTCGGTATGAGAAACACCATTAGCTTCAATACAAGATGGCAAGCAGTGAGATTTTCGGGACGAGATGTCATTTAACGTTGACCATGAGGAAACACTTGGTGTGCTGCAGTCGTTTGTTGGCAGCTCTCTCCAGTTGTGAACAACCAACGGAAGACTATGGAGACATGAGGATTGGTGATATGTCGTCCTGACGTGGCATCGCATCATTACCCTCGTCCCATTCTCAAACCAGACGAAAGAGCAGTTGTGCCAATACTTTAGCGCAAACGGGCACATTGTACTTCCATCTGGTGATGAGGCAACGCACCTAATCAGAGGAAGCAACAAGCCAGTTCCAACAACAACATTCCTTCTTGCCCTCATGGATGCTGGTGTTCAATTTCTCAGACTAGTTAATTTCGGCATGAAGATCAAACTTTTAACACCTTCCCCGAGCTGCCGAGGGACCTGCTTGACTGTGCAGCTGAAGACCACGGATTCCCACCTAATGAATGGAACATTTCCCTATCCCGCCGAACCGATTACCTATACCTTATCAAACCCCATGCACCATATCCTCTCCACATAACTCCTAACCCATATCCAATCGCCACTAAACCCGAACCCCAGAGTTACCCTTGGGGGAAACCTCAACCTATCCATTACTGATGATGGGCCGATCAAATCCTTGAAGATATACAACCTACAATACCACCTTTTGAGGGCTTCAAACTCGCAGCCATTGAATGCTACGATCACAACGAGGCAGGGTGGACGCGCCTACAAGAATATGTTTTCAATCTTGGTGGCTATGCGGGAGGCAAGGCAACTGGTCGGGGGACTCCCTATGGAAGTGAGAGCAAACTTCAACCACCATATGGATGCCGTCCAACACATCATTATGCACCCACCACCTCTTCAGCCCGGCACATTTTGAAGTGCGCACAAGCTACCGAACCATCAGTGTCGCAGAATACCTCCAGGATGCCAATCGTCTTTTTCGCAAGGCCAGGCAAATTCTTGCCACCAACAATGTGATGAGGCACAACGTTAACCACAAGCTCACTCTTACAGAAAAAGCCATCCTTGGTGATTTGAAACCCTGTTTGGATACAAGCATGCAGGGTACAGGTCCGATCGCACACTTGGAGCATATTGGTTGTTAGATCGCAACCCAGCACCACCCATTCCACCACAAGTACCACAACCACCTCGACGACCTCCCCAAGTGATGATAAACCTACAATCGTCCACAAAATATATTGAGACTTTTTAAATCAATCCCCTTCCCCCTTATTTCAATGTTGAAAACCTACTGTACTTATCCAAAACGAACATAAGGTGACACTAGAACTGCAACTGTGTCACTGGCAGTTGAAATTTAACATATGGTGTTGGATAACTATATTGCAGTGCCTAACAACATTGAAATTGGGGGAGGGGGTTTGTCTCAAATATTTTGTGGACGATTTTGTGGAAGCCTTATTCGGTTAAGGGCCTGGTAATGAAAGTTGCTTAGAATGTTTAGTACTACCTATTACCAAACTTTTTCAAAAACATTACCAAATATGGGAAAACTTTTTCAATTTTCAAACTGCTCTACAGGCTTCACAAATCACTTTTTCGCAATGCTAGTTTCACAGAAATGCTAGTTTTTAAAAGCTCTATCATATCAAACCACCTTCAGATTCAAGCTTGAGTTATAAGCTTTCAAATGAGCTGCGAACGGGCTAAATCCGTTGAATCCCTGAGGCTCTAAACAAAAAGCCTGTTTGCCTTTTTTTTTAAACACTTTTTTGACTTTGTGACGTCATAACTCCGCCCCCTTTCAATCCATCTTTACCAAACTTGGTCCAAATAAACTTCAGTCATTTGTCTATCACCCAACCAAGTTTGGTTGAAATTGGTTAAAAGGGAACCCTTTCAAAAAGTGAAACCCGTTTTATCTTTGGAGTTCGGCCAGGCTCTCTAACCCTAACCATCAGTGTTTTGCTGTGAACACTGATGATGGACAATCAAGTATGAGTGGAACTGATTCAGCCTCCTCATGCAAAATCACTCTGAATCTCTCAGATAAAGCTAAACAAGGCCAGCCAGAAGTAACCGGGTATTGTTTTATTGATAAATTTGCTGAAGAACATCACAAGGTATATAAATTGTATAAAATGTATCGATTGACACTCAGCTTCTGGAGCGTTGAAAATATAATAAACGCTGAAAGACTCAAGGATATTGATTTTAGAACAAGTCCAGACAGTCATGCTGTGACCGAGTTAATGCAAGAGGAAGAAAACTTCCAAAGAAATGATTTTGAACTGGGTGACAACAGTGAGCCTACTAGTGTTGAATTTGATAAAGAATTGTTTATTGAAGAAGTGAGGAAATACAGGTGTCTGTGGGATATCAACTCGAAGGCATACAAGCTATTAAGCAAAATGCATGGGCCAAGATTGGAACCATTTTCAACAAAGATGGTGAGTTTTATATAGTTTAACAATATAGATTAAAGATAATAAGTCTGGGTTTGTTCCTATGTTTTGTTCCCAAGATATTGTTCCTATGTTTTGTTCCACCATATGTTTTCATTATGCTAAGTACGTAGTTTCCACATGTGACATGTGGAGTGGTAGACTCTATAACATACTAGGATGGAAATGCCCTGGTATATCGACATTATATAAAATGTTATTGTCAAAAATGATCTCCATTTCAAGTACAGCAATATATCAATCACATGGTTCATTAGTATGTGTGATCTGAAGTGACATTTTACAATATGTATTACGAGTGAAGCAAGATATTTTGAAATGCCAGGTCTGTAACAATTAAACTTGTGTGAATAATTTTCTTGGGGGGGGGGCTGTCCCTCATATCTCCCTGCACTATTTCATTCCTGTATACTGATGCATTATGGTGTTTATGCACTTTATGCTATGATTGCTCTCCTCTAGTATGTCTAATGCAGTTAATTTAAAACTTCTGTAGTTTATAATGCTCCTATCTTTTTTCAGTCGAGTTCTTGCAAAGACAGCTCAAAAATCTGAAAGATAATCTGAAAAAATGCTTAGATAAACAACAATGAATGACAAAGTCTGGTGCCGCAGTCTCATCATTGCCACAATATAAATATTTTGAGCAAATGAAGTTCCTCCATGAGAAAACTGCAAATCAACCAACTGAAAGTAATTTAACCTATTCTGTTCAACAAGTTACACCAGCACTCTTGCTGATACATGCAAACTGCCTAATTCAAGACAGTCTACTGCTGGTGCTACAAAACGAAAGGGCGGTGAGATGTTATTCCTCTTTCAAGCAGTCGGCAATGTGGAGGCCCTTTTGGCTGGTGACAACTCTGACAACAAGGACGAGGACTTCAACATGAACAACAGTCTGGAAATAGACAAACTTCGTCGTTACGACATGGAAAACCAAGCAACAAACGAACATCAACAAAACACTGAATCACCAAACACTGGCAAACAACATATAAATGAACCTAGTATGGAACAAAACATTAATGAACAGACTATGGACAAGACTTAAAAAGAGATGTGATGATGACGTAGCACAAAAATGGACACACTATACATGAAATACACAGAACGGTCCTTACTCGCGCTCGACAAATCCGACAAATGACTCAAACAACTAGAAAACACATCCACAAAAAAAGCACAAACAGCAAACAATGGGCCTCAGGTCAAACATACTAAAACTAAAAGCAAGAACATGGTAGCACAAATCAATAAACCAACACAATCAAGTAAACCGCAAATAAATGAATGGTGCACAACAACTACAGAAAACAAGACTCAACTATACACACACACCATCCAACAAATACACCTAACACACTACAAACAATACACACAACTCATGCACACACATGAAGTAGACCACAAACTTCCTTCCACAGCCACATACAAAACCACATGCATGCACGGACACATAACCCTACTAACAGCCCTGTGAAAACTAAGACTTCAACAACACAAAAACATTGCAAACACAACACACATCAACACCATAACACTCTTACAACTTTAGCAGACACAGCAACAACAGAACTCTGTCAATTAGTTTGTTTCAACCAACAAATACTCCTACAACACTTCTCATGCAAGTTCAAACAACCTACCGTAAAACACAACCCTCCATAACGAATTATTATGAATGATTCTTACATAAGTTAAATTAATACTTTATCATATTATTCATATTTCCATTATATATAAGTTATTATTATATAGATTATAGGTAGGTTAGTATTTGGTGGTTTAAACTCGATGGAATCTTCAATTCTGTTTTAAACCTACCTAAATAACATTATAATTATAATGATCTTGTAATTATGTATTGTTATTTAAAATTGATTAAATTCAAAATTCAAATTTAAATATCACTTCAACCAATCCTCACCAAAACTATGAATACCACCACACTCACAGCCAACCTACAATACAAAACAATCAATGACCAATAAGACCAATAATATGCAACAACATAACCCTCTTTTCATAAATGGCTGCCGATTAAAAATTATTTTATGTGCATATAAATTGGCCCAACTAGGGTAGAAATTGGGTAGAAATTCCTTTGAAATCTTAACATGAGTATGAGGCTAGTTGGGCCAATTTATATGCACATAAAAGAATTTTTAATTGGCAGCCATTTATGAAAAGGGTGTATAACAGGACACCTACTAACACTTACAACTGGCAAGACATCTTACAAAACAGACAAAACCCACAACATAACAAACAAGTAACATTCCACACACCATAACCCAAAATGTACACTCACAGACACATTATTCTCTGCTAAACCAAACACACAAACACAAAAAATAACGCAATGCATGACCAGAAAAAAAAACACGCCCTGTACAAACATGAATACTAATAAATATAGCAAAAACACTATACTCAAGTTCATCAAAACACCATGCAACACCAATCATAACAGACAACTTAGCAAAAACAAATTACACAAAAAAATGCACAAAAACCTACAATATAAGGCAGTTACTAACCTGTCAGATAAAAACATCGCTAACTCCACACTAATAGCACTATCCAAAGGGGCTTGTCTTACATCCCTTCCCTCAAACCGGCACCATACAAGCAAATTTATAATTCATTCTTAAAATACAGAAAAAAACATGTACAACAGGTATTTCTTCAGGCACAACACAAACAAACACAGACACATTTAAGCTACCAACAAATTTCACAGCCCCGATTCTGGATAACAGTAACCTTCAAGAATACATTTCAAACATTTATCATGACCTCAAAACAGAATATGAGAAACACAAAGAACATGCAAAACCAAATATATCTAAAGATGAACTACAAGCTACCCATAATCTTAAAACTGATGATGATTTGATTGTTAATCCAGCAGATAAGTGAGGAGCCATTGTTATCTGGCCCAAAGATGCCTATCTAGCTGAGGCATATAGACAATTAAATGACTCAAATCATTATCAAAAACTTACATATGACCCAACCCTTGAGACGTTAGCAGAAACCAAAAGACTTGCCAATAAACTCCACATATCAGACATAATTGACAACACAACACACAAATTTCTAACAATAGATAATCAAGCAAGGACACCACAACTCTATCTTTTACCAAAAATTCACAAACAGGACAATCCAGGTAGACCAATAATTTCAGGCTGTGGAGGACCGACTACAAGCTCTCTCAATATGCTGACCACCTCCTCAAACCACTCCTAGAACATATACCATCATACAACGATGCTTTGCTAATTTTAGAAGTGGGGAGGGCGGTCTTGAAAATCAAATGGGCATGGTCACTCGATTGGACGTGGCCTTATGCATAGTCATAGTGAACAAGTTAATACGCAATAGCTTAATCTTTAAAGTGGATTTAGTACAACATGTACCTAAAAACACCTAGCTTGCATGTGGTAGATGTCAAAAAGCAAATAACACCATGTTGACTTTCGAATTTCAATGATGCAATTAGTGCTATGCGAGTAATTCAACAAACAGGCAACTTTGGAAGTTGAATATGACGTTTTAGCAAGTAACTAAATAAGCTTAGATAATAGATATCCTTTTATCCTATCCATTCAATCATGTTAATGTTCTTATTGAATCATTTTACGCCCCCACTGATCATTTTATTGTTCATTTGAATGTTCAATTTCGCGATTGCGCGAGAGACGTTATCCACGCTTATGACTGGTAAGTACTTATCTAAGTGGATGTCAATTTAATATCAGACTCTCGTATTTTTGTGCTAGTCTGCTAGAATTTTATGCAAGTATATCAAGTTTCAGGGAGATTAAATAGTGACACAATTATGTTCTGAAGTATGTTTACATAGGACGCTGAGCAAAAATAACATGTATGTAGAACAAGTGATGCCAAAATTATTTGGATGGTGTCAAACGGTGTTCATAGGCCACAGGCTGTGGCTGCTATTGTTTCATCTCACTCCCACTTCGAGGGTCCAAATTTTTTTTACAAAAATACGAAGTCTGTTATGTGACAAACAACAGGTCAAAAGTTCTCCACGTAAACATTTGTCATTTCGAAGAAAATAGCGCTTAACTTTGGAACCTGGATTATCGGAAAATTAGCAATAATTTTCGGGAAGGAAAATTTCCAAAAAGTGGAAGTTGCGTATAAACATGGCTGCCAAATTTAGGTGTTTTTTTCACCTAAATCATGTAAAAAACGAGAATGCACAACAAATTACAGAGTTAAGATGGATAAAAACTGTACAATGTTCATGTACAATGTTCAATGGCTAGAGTTGATGGGCCCAGAAAATGACATGGCAAATCTCATCGAACATTTGTTGGATCTTTCATTCAGTTCGCTCGTAGAAGCTCACCCAGAATTTGGCTTTCATCCAACTTGTTATCGACGATATATTGATGGAAAGAGGATATGTGCTGCGAAAAAGAGAAAGGCGAAGGATAAACATGAGCAACAAAGCCAAGAATGCGAACTAGTTGAAAAAAGAGCTCGCCGATCGCTAGGACCAGTACTTCCTGTAAAATGTATTATTTGTGATGAACCTGACAAATTTGTTCAAGATCCAATTAGTAGAAAACGCATTCGAGATCGACTTAGTAAAGCAGAGACTGAAGATGCTGGTAGGTCATTTGTTATTTTATATAAAAGTGCACATGATTACTTTTGTTCAACAAATTTGAACAATCTACTTGTAGGATTTGGATTTGATATATTCACTTGTGCAAAACTACTAAATATATTTATGCATATGTTTATATGAAGTGCTTTAATACTCTACATAGTGAGATTTGATATCTTACTGCAAATTTCATATTGCAAACCTCCTTTGAAATATCACAGCTTTCAAAGTATGCATATGCCATATTAAGCCTCCCCCATTTAAACCCTCCCCCATCTCTTTCACAGCAGAGGAACATGTGTGGTAATCAATTTAAAATAATAGCTATCCTAGCTTAATCATGTAATAACATTTAATAATTATATTTTAACAATGTTGCCCTGTTGAAAGAATTAATAATGAAAAATACATTGTAAAGTGTATTTTGTATTCAGTAATTGTTATTATAAAATAACATGTATATAACGCGTGTTCTGATTGGTTGAAACCCGTGTTTGGATCAGGCCATCCAAACACGGAAGACTATCGTGTTGTTGTTATTTTATAAAACAATTACTTTATGGTTTCCCTGTTTGGATGGAATGATCCAAACACTTGGGAATGTTGCTCGAGTTAAGAAAAGCGTGCAAAATCACTTACCTTTGGCTTGTGCTTTCGCGCGCTTTTCTTAACTCTCGCAACATTCCCGCGTGTTTGGATCAGGCCATCCAAACACGGAAACCATAAAGTAATTGTATAATAAACATATTGAATCATAGTACTCCTACACATTTGCTCTCCAAAAATGTGTGAAATAGATACAACTCTCTCAAACGGGGCTTAAATAAATAAACCCCTCTCCCGGCTAATATAATGTTGCTTGCCTATTACTTTAGTTAACAGCATATCTAATCTCAGGATACTTTATGGCTGATCCTTAATTTAATGGATGACACATTAGGTCTAAATGAAAGCGGTTCGCCGGTTTTAAAATGTGCTGGTAACTGCATAGTAAAACAATGTAATTTTTTTTCCAATGGGCAACTGTTCATTTTGAATATTTCGAAGAGCGCTTGGTTGGTATATTTCATTGCCAGTTTGCTATAATTCTTAACATTTTTAATGTTAAAAGGAAATCTTCGTAGTGCAGCAACATACAAAAATGATGAGAAGATTCTTGTCCACATAAGAGATAAGGACTGTGCAGCTATTGAAGTTCGATATCATCCAAGCTGTTACAAGAAGTACACCAGGTGTTTACGCAGCAGACACTTTTCTGATGGAAAGTAAGTTGATTTTATATTTAAACTTTTCAATGTGATATGCATAAACACATTATTGCATCCCATATGCAAACTATCAACTCCTTACAATATAAATCTCTTGAAAATGCACCAGCTATGTTCTTAAAATTTAGTTTCTTTTTTGCCCTCTGGTATTGTTCATAACTCTTCAACGCAGTAAAATTGTAAAGTTTTTACTTTCTCCCTAAATGGTAATAGTGCAAATATAATTTGAAATTATTAAAATATTATGTATAAAATACAGGAATACCCGGAAGGACAAGTTTGAAATTCACAAGAATGGCTACCTTAAATTTTGTGAATCAGTAGTTCATCAACGATTATTGGTCAATCAGGAAATACTGCGATTGTCAAGACTGACTCAACTTGTGATTACCTCAATCCAAAATGTTGAAGGCGTCGAGCCTGTGGGAATAAGGTTGTTAAATTCTAATCTAGTTGCTGTTCCTTTTAAATATTTTTAATACATACAGTACATAATAATCAAATAATATAAATTACATAATATAGTCCCGGTATTAATAAATCAAGTCTGGTATTATTACGCCAGCTTTATTTAATTTCTTTATAGGAATGATAAATTGAAACTTCGACTTCAGAAAGATTATCCCCAACTTGTGTTCCATAAGCCAGCTAGAAAAAATGAAAGTGAAATAGTATACTGTTCAGCGGTACCAGTAGGAAATGTTGTTGCCGACTCACTTGATTTATCAGAAAGTTCTTCAAATAATAACTCTGGACCGGAAACCTATGATGAAGTATTTCTTGGGGAATCGAGCTGCACTTCAACTTTATTAGACCAACATGTTGATAGATCCCTTTATGTTGCAGGTTGGTAGTTTTGATGTGGGAAGAGTACTTTCCGTTCCGGTCTGCTAATAAACGGCTAATTTGTAAAATGAATGTAAACATTAAAGTGTTGCTATTAAGTGTTGCTATAAAGTGAACCTAAGAGAAATGTTGAAATTTTTCATATTAAACACTTTAAAAACAAGTTTTTGAGTACTGCGAATTATAGAATACTAAATCAAGAATCTCAATTTTGCAGGTCTGATGCTTAAAAATATTATAAAAGATGCTCCAAGGATGACATCAAAATGGCCTCCAACAGCCAACGAAATTCGAAACGAAGGTGTCGAAAAGTTTGTTCCATACCAACTGTTCAACTTGATTGCTGTGTGCATTGGTGCAACCGAGGAACCTTCTTTGACATTTTATGCTGATGTTGACGATGATACTCGTAATAAGAGTAACTCAGTAACTCAGAGTAAGAGTAACTCGGAGTAACATCACACAAACAAGATTCTTTCTATTGGTCAAGACATTATCTACCTTGCCTCAAAAGGTAAAAAACAGACCCCCAAGTCTCTTTCACTAGGTTTGACCATAAGACATCTCACTGGTTCGTCTCAGCAGGGCGTTTATAAGATAGGGCGGCGAAACGCCAGTAATTCACGTGAAACATGTATGATGCAAATTAGGACTGGGGCTAGCGGGGAAGGCGCGAAATTTAAATCAAAACAAACTATTGATGCGAAACTCGAAGACACTTTTTAAATCTCTTATTTTGCTGAAATTATGCAGTCTATCGTTGCCATATTTTGTCATCTGGTTATATACGTTTTTTACAATTTACATGGCATGATTCAAGACAATCGTAAAAACAAAACTACGAAAATTTTGCACATGAAAGCCGAACATCACAATGGATTCCCTTAAGCGTTTTTAGGATGCGTAAATAAATTACTTATTTTATATCTCAAAAATAAGCCAGAACAAAATGTTAACAAAGTACAAATCGTTATTCCTCTTAAATTTCATGGCGTAATTTTTTGAACTTTTTTTGCAATAGCTTGCTGAATACAGCATAAAAAAGTTATTACAGTTGAAAAATTTCCCAGGTTCGTATAGTTTTAATACATATACGAATATAAAAGAAATTTAAACGTTTTTTGGCCACTCTTACTCTTAAATCGACAAAGGAATACTTGTTCTTCTTACCAGCATGTTCATCCTTGACCAGAAGTCAACATGTAACAAGTAAATGAGAATTGTTTTCAAACAAATGTTCGGGTTCATCGTCACTGCGAATTTCGCTTTTCCAACCAGCCTTCGATTTGTAAAATATTAATAACTTGTACTGTCACCAGAACTTAGCAAATCCAAGGACGACTAGTCCATTATCAGGTCTTTCTTTGGTAAAAATATTGTCACTTAATTTTTTGAACTTTTTTTGCAATATGGGAACAAACACGACACAATGGAAAAATATTCGGCAGACATTTCGAATTATGCCGTGCGAACCGGAAGATTGAGGCAAGTCAAGACGGACACAGACAACGATGAAAATTGCGAAATTTATTTATTTATTGCGAAATAAATTTTAAAAAGGTAAACAAACACTTTGTATTTTAAATCAACTATACAACACAGATAATATAACTAAAAAGACACTGAGAAAAACAAGCCAAAACGACTTTGATAATTGGTTCAATATCAAATATCTATTAAAAGTGCACATTTATAAAATAGACATAAAATTTGGTCTAGCACGTTTTGTATATATCTACTATACACAACTAGTTTATATTACAATTGTCTACTCCTACAACTATGTCAAATAATTTGAAAAGAACGGTTTCACCAGTGAGAGGATACAATGATACACCCAGGGCCGTAGCGAGGGCAGGGGTATTGGGGGGGGGGGGAGGTGGTTAACCACCCCCTCAACTTTTTTAGAATCGACATATTCGGAGAATCGGGCTGGCCATTTGGAAAATTATGGCAATAATATTAGTAGAACAAAATTTTAGTTGTTAAACAGAGAAAATATTATAAAATTGTATTGTCAGTATAAACTGATTTATGAAATTATGGCATTTACATGGATAACATTTAACAAATTGTAAATCGGTAAATGTTTTTCAGTTCATTACTTCTCAGGGCCGTAGCAACCGGGGGGGGGGGCACTGCAGCCCTCCCAATAATTTGGTAATCATTCTTTAATATACCTTTAAAATGCTGACAATTGATTAATTTTAATTGGCTATTATCCATGACAAACTGCAAAAAATCATATTACCCATACTTTTCCTGCAACTTCTCCAATATGCAGTATAGTTAATTAAATACGTCTTTGCCCATTTGGTACTACTAAACTGTAAGCAAATTGTAAATTTTGATATACTAAAATGCTTTTTTCTGACCATCAGTATTCTGTCAAAACTTCCCCAAAGTCAAGGAAATGGCATTTCAGGGACTCTAAATTTAAAAATTTCCTCGCGCCTCCGTTTTCACCCCCCCCCAATGAAAAAGAGCTTCCTACGGCATTGCTTCTGTAATATGTCTGTGCGTCTATGTCTTGCGCGTATGTCTTGGCCTACACCCCCCCCCCAACTATACATGCTAGCTACAGCCCTGGATACACCCAAGAGAAGAGCAGAATTTAGCACACCACCTTGGCCACAAAGAAATGCTCTGGACCCAACTATTTTATAATACCCTATTCTATGATGACCCTTGTGTTTCCAGTGGCACCCTTCACCAAAAATTATGCACCTGGTAAATACGATGCAATAATTGACATAATTTACCAAATTATTGGTGCGAAATACAGTAGTCACAGTATTCAAAACTATTTTCATCAAGTTTATGCAAACAAAGTGCAGGGTTTTGGAAAAACAGAAGGTACATGCAGATGGGTCTCCTACCAGAATAATGTGAGATGTTTCCTAGAACAATCCAATCACCTACTCACTCCAGTCTTACAAGGGGAACAACTTGATGAGACAACAATGAATTCATTGCTGCATCAATTGAAGTCTCACTGCATGCAACAGGGCACATCAACCCCTCTAGATAACAAAGCAAAATGCTGCCTAAACAAAGAATATGACATATTTATAAACTATGTTAACCAAATGTTTGAAAAGGCCATTATGCTCAAATTAAATAGTAAGTGGTCCAAGCAGTTTAACAGTGATAAAAACACCCTTCATTTCCCACAACAGAGGTCTCAAAACTATGGGCATCTCCTGCAAGCCTTTTCCACTAATCATCAAATAGATTGGTGATTGGTCACACTTTGTCATTTCTCAGAGTGGCAAACTTTTTATCCAACCTAATAGCCCGTACGCTGTCGCTTTTAAACTTCTTCACCGAACCATTGCTCTGATTAAAAGCCTCGACATTGGACAAATACAGACACAAAGCAATCCAAGGTGGCAAAACCTTTTTCCCCGCGCGTGTTTTGCAATATTGTTGTGGCTATTTCAGCTTCGGATTTTATCGTGCTGGAAGAAATCCTCTCGAGAACTGCGATCACTTCATTGATAGTGAAAGCATCAGTCGACTGTCGAATAACAGGGGATGTTTTATATCCTTTTCGGCATCTGTGTCATCTAAACTAATAATTAAAATCAAAATCTTCCTCTTCCATTTCAGCTTGAGCTTCCGCCATTTTTACTCGCATGTGTTCGAATATTTGGGGGCTCCCTTGCATCACAGACATATCAGGGCTCCTATGCTCGTTTTGCCGCCCTATCTTATAAACGCCCTGGTCTCAGTTACTCCATGTCATACATCAATATGGACACTGTGCATCTCCGGATACCATTCGGATGTATGAAACACAAGCTTGGCCTTTCTCCGTTTGGAATCGAGTGAACAGATACCTAAAGGATTTGCTACAGGCAAGCTTCTCACCATGATTTGGGATAATATAGATTTTCAAGAAGAAATGCCAACAGGTCATGGAACAACTCATCACACAAATGGTATTATGGTGCAGAAGGAAGTTTCGCCTGTCATTTATCCTGAATTACCGACTGTAAAGAAAGGCATGCGTTCTTTAACACCTGAAATTATTCCTTTGCCTGAGTACCACTGTGTGATACGCCAAGGGCCTCAGTTCGATACAGATGTTGAACAGATTGGTATCGATGAGTGGGAGCCTTTAATTGAAAGCGCCAAGCAAACTGATTTCCTGTACATACTGTCAAGGCGCAACGATAATCAAATACCAGGATGGACTGGATTTAACGTAAGGCAACAATTCTCGAAAGGAACATTGGATAAATCTGTGATATATTACCTTCCTGTCATTGAAGCTTCGCCTACTGAGATGAGCACAGTCAAGGAAATAATGACTTGGAGCTTAGCAATGGCAGAGAGAATTCAAGGTCATGGTTTTCGATCTAGCCATTTATGCCAAGGTACAACAAATTCGCTGGGCAAATGATATTTACAAGGAACGTTTTGTGGTCAGATTGGGTGAATTCCATGCTATAATGTCATTCCTGTCTGTCATCGGAAAGCGATTTGGAGACGCAGGCCTAAGAGACATTGCTATTGAGTCAGGTCTTGTTGCTGAAGGCTCTATTAATGGTGTTTTGAGTGGACACCATTACAATTGCAGCATTAATACAATGAAGGTGATGTATGAGGCAATGGAGGCTTTGCTTTTCTTCCTTTTTGGATAGTCTAAGTGATGAAGAATTGGAGCATTTCGATTCTGCTATAACAGTAAAAGACGAATACCCAGAATCACAAGAGTTTGTTGGTCTTTTCGATAAATACCAGCATTTTTGCCTCATGATGCGAAAAGAAGATCCTACATTCGAATTATGGAGTTCATTTTTAGATATGATGTCCCTTCTTCTAGTTTTTGTGCGTGCTACAAGGGAATCAGATTGGAGTGTCCATGTTGCTGTGCTTCGTTTGATGATGCCATGGTATTTCGCCTATGATAGGACAAACTATTCTAGGTATCTACCAGCATACTGGATGGAGATGGTTAACTTGCCTGAGTCGCATCCAAGTGTGTATCACGAATTGAGTCAAGTCGGTGCATGGACAGTACAAAGGCACAGTAATCATGCTTTTGCATCAATCGCACGTGACCAATCCATTGAAGAAACCCTGAACAGAGATTGCAAAACACCTGGAGGAATTAAAGGTATTACCCTTAATCGAGGTGCAGTTCAGAGGTGGATTTTAGCGCAGCCCGAAAGAGCAGCTATATCTAGAGAATGTGAAGTGATGGCAGGCTACCATAAGGTGGAGCGAGCTTCCAAAGAACTTGACCAAACGCGTATCCGAAAGCTTGAAGAATCAATAATGTCAGTAATTTCCACCGTTAAGAGCATGATTAATCCCTTTGAAAATACCACAGGGGAGCTTGTTGCTATCAGTTCTGGTGCAGTTGCAATTGACGCTGTAAAGGATGACCTTCTTAAAGCAGAGGCAAAGGGTGAATCTGCTGCTATGGAATTCATCAAAGAACGTCTTCTTGTAGGATCAAATGCCACACAAACCGATTTTCACGACCCAATCAAACAACAAAAACTAAAAACATTTGCTGATAATTGCACAAGTAAGAAGAAAACTAGCAAAGAAATTATCAAGGACAGTAAGGTGTTTTTTGCTCGTCTTCTAGTGGTAGGGTAGAAGAGAAACTTGGACTTACGTGAAGTGTTTCAGTACTCACTAAGTAGCGTTTCATTTCCCCTTTCGAATGTTGATGGTACAATGGCTAAGACTGACAAATCTGCATTAATGAGAATATTGGAGGAAAAGTGTACCAATGTCCAAGTGACAAAGATACCGCAAGGAGCAATGTTGGATGCCATGGCCCATATTCAGTCATTTCGAGACATTCCTGATACCTTTGGAAAATTGTCTGATCTTGTTTTGACACAAATTGTTAATATGGGGAGCACAAATGGGTGTTCCAGATTAGATTTCGTTGGCGACACATATCCACAAGGCAGCATCAAAGACATGGAAAGAGAGAGAAGAGCAGGCAAAGGGGCTGAAGTAATTACGATATATGGTCCAGAGCAGAAAACTCCCCGACAGTTTAAGAAATTTTTATCCGATGGAAAGAACAAGGAATCCCTGCTGGAATTTTTTTTCCAGTCTTGGACTTCTGCACAACTTACAACCGACATCACAATTTATGTAGCTCATGGGAAGTTTTGTCACAAGTTGTCATAGACTCAGCATGGATGCAGTGAAGTTCAAGAGTGCCGAGTTTTGGAGAGTGACCATGAAGAGGCTGATACCAGACTCATCTTACATGCTGCGCAAGCCAGCTTAGACCATTCCAGTGTTACCATTAAGAGTCCTGACACCGACGTCGCAATCATAGCACTTAGTCATCGGGAAAGTATTGACAGTAACCTGTTTTTCTGGACAGGCACAAGGCGAAGACGAAGGATTATTAAGGTCACAGGACACCCTTTTTGGCGTTTTGCAGAAAATCGCTACTGCGCGCTCAATATCAGTCTGATTTTCATCAAATTTTCACCAAATGTTCTCCAGTGCATGCACAATATGGTAAAGTTTTAAAATTAACAAACAATAAAATAATGTAAGAATTATTCAGGAAAATCTTAAATCGCGGTACCGTTACGCTTTTGAGTTATGCTCCTGCTGGTTTTAAGTTATATTTATGAAAATATCATTTTTATACAATAAAATAGTTGTTCTAAAAAATGGTGTTCGGAAATTTTTGTTTATTGCGTCATTCCGCTGATATGGCGATTTCTTTGACGACTGCAATATATTTCTGAATTGTTTGAATGAATTGCTCTTTATTTTTAAAATATCCAAAATTAAAAAAAAGCCGAACACAATTTTGAAACTGACGTCTTTAGCTATTTCCTGTGAAAATTTGAGAAAAATTGGTTAAAACCCGCAGGAGCACAACTCGTTTGAAAATCACTAATTACCATAAACTTTTTGGGAGAAAATTGAATTTGAATATTACATTTTCAATGTTTTTCTTATTGCAGTGAAATGTATTTTATTAAATAACTCTGCGAGTTTTCAACATTTTTCGTTCAAACTTGGTCAGATAGTAGAACTAGTCTAATGCTTTCATGAAAGTAGTTAAAGTTACATTGGATTGCGATTGCTTCATTGAATTGTATCATTAATTCGTATTCTGGCTCATTTAGTCGAATAAGTAACTAAGTGCAGTAGCATGTGTGGGGTCTGTAGTAATTTTCACCAGGCAGAATACGAATTCATACGACAAATCGTAATGTGTCAACGCAATACCTTAAGGAATCATCTGGTGAACATATTATATTGGTTGCAGACACTGATAAATTTCACAAAATATAGTTGTTTTCGATAATCAGCACCAATTCCAAACACTGTTAATTTCTGGAGATTAAACTATTCTGTGTTAATTATTATCAACAGTGTTATCTGTAGAAATAGGTTAAAGAATATAAATTTAAAAGGCTGAAATTGTTTGCATTTATAATTGTCATTTTAACAGTGAAGCAGAAATTGGAATTGTCAATAAATTATATAATCATGCAACTTTCTTTTTTCACTAGTGTGTAAATTCTCTGCTTCTACGCAAAAATGACAGGATATTTTTTGGAGAACTTTTATGACACAGCAAAAAAATATTAAATTTGCAATTAAAAGTATAAAAACGCAAACCCCGGAAGTGGGAACGACATTCATTTTACGAACCTACTTTAAGCTACAGCCTGCGGCCTATCACTGAACTTACTCATATTTAATCCCTGCCAGCACGTTGGATTCTGGCAGGGGGACGCTGTTCCCCTGGTAAAAGGTGGAGGGACGGCGTTCCCCCTGGAAAACATCACTGCCATCATATGTACAGGACACAACAGATTTTCTCCAGAATTTTTTCACTAAATCAGGACTTACCAGACAATATCATACTTATCACATTTGATGTTAATTAAGAGTCTCTATACCAACATACCTAATGATCAGGGCATCCAAGCCTGTGTACATATGTTGAATGAAAACAATATAACTCCCGAACTAAGACAATCAGTTATTGATATCTTATCCCTCATACTTAACAAAAACTCCTTTACATTTAACAATGAACATTTTCTACAAATTCATGGCACTGCTATGGGATCACCTGTGGCACCCACTTATGCAAACATATTTATGGCAATATTGGAATGGAATGAAGCACCACAGGGTCTTATACCAATTGAATGGATAAGATTCATTAGATGACACATTTGCAATTTGGACTCATGGCATTGAAAAACTACAGAAATTCCTATCATACATTAATAACTTACATCCCACAATTAAATTTGAGTACACATACTCATACAAATCAGTCAACTTCCTCAGGGGCGCCGGAAAGTCAATAATTGGGGGAGTGGCAGATATTCATATATCCATGTTCACAGACTGTAAAAACAATCGCTTTCAAAGGAAATAAATGATGCAGAACATGAATATATGAATATCTGCCCTCCCCCCCCCCAATTATCGACTTTCCAGCACCCCTGAACTTCCTTGACACAACTGTTTACATTAACTCCAACAACAAACTCGAATCAGACTTATACATCAAACCAACTGACAGAACTCTACTCCTACACCAAAACTGCTTTCACCCCCAAACATGCAAAAATTCTATTATCTACAGCCAAGCACTATGGTATAGATACATCATCACTGATAATACGAGACTACAACAAAGACTGGTCAACCTACTACAAATTGCACTCATTCACTGACGCCACAAACATGACAACACCACATCTTTTAACAAAGCACTACTATACACACAGAATGAAATACTTAATAAAACAGAAAATGCAAACAAAACAACTAACAAACCAATATAATAGTAATACGAAGTACATTGCACAAATACTATGTAAAAACACTGGAACATCGTTGAAGATATCCTACATTGCGAATTCATATCAAAAAAGCAAAAGCCTCAGGGACACATTGGTCTCAGCAAAACTATATTAAAATATCAGAACCCAACCGAATGGATAACTTAACTAAACTGATACACCATCAGGTGGGGGTGGGGGGGGGGGGTCATCTGATTAAATAACTACCTAAAACCCCTTTCCAATACCACCACCCAAAGAACGACACAAAGTCAATTGCAAACACAAGTTATCAATACAACTGGCAAGCATAGGATTATTCACTTGATGCAGATGAATGGCTAAACAAGATAACAATACTTAAACAATCTGGCACACATCTGAAGACTGGGAACCCATTTGTTTGAACACTTATAGAATATTACAGCTATCATTATAGCCATGGGCTAACTATTACACTATAAAGAAGAATGTTTTTTGATAATAACTTTCAAACACACATAAACATAATTTTTGTGCCATTATCACTATTATGAAGAATAAAAATACCACTATCACCATATTGGTATATGGAAACCATTGGGAAATTACTATATCGACCAATTAATATTTAGAATTCCCCATTGGTATACATTATATACCTCCAATATTTATCAGTCCATTTGCAACTACCTATGTTTTGCTTTACATTGTGATTAACCACTCACTTTTGGCAAAACCATTAGGCCATATCACTATTACTTGTTAATATCTACAACACATCAATGATGATGTACTATTTCACAGGATGGTTTCAAATTAGCCACAATTAGATAGTCTACATCTACATATTTCACTCTACTGTACAGATTACTTAGATTCTGTTACATCTTTATTAAACAAATTTTACATATATTTTGTCTATTTGATTGTCAGTGTCTCTAGCTTATCTGGGTATAGTCAACTATATGTGCATACTACATGAACCATTGTGAACATTCAGTTACACAGGACTGTTATACATCAAAGCTATTAAACACACATCCAGTCCCTAAACAATTTAATAAAACATTCAGGCCTTTGATCGCAGTTCATCCCTTTCACTACACCATTACACACCATCAATTTATATAACAATTTCAACATAAAGTATTTATATAGTGACAAGTTCACAAACACCATTATTACATGAAGTAAACACACAGACCCAGATAAATACACAGTTCCCAAAGTGCTCCCTCAGAACTGCTACTATCCACACAACACCATAAACACCCACATGTACATCTCACCAACTGCGCATGTCCAAACACGCAATTTATACAGCTGAATAACAATTTCTCGCCCCTTTCTGCTTACTAACGTAACGAAAAGACAAGCTATACAAGTGCTAAAGCTTTTTACAAAGATTAACTCCTTGTACGCTGCACTAAGGGGCCGTCAACAAATAGATTTCGTCCCGCAATGTGGACTTGGGCCACAATGGGGTAGATTAGAATCCGCGATTACAAAATATTTGGGACGAAAACTGACTTTAAAAATACGAAGATCGTAAGAAAATGCAGTACATTTTAAACAATTTAAATATTGATTTTATAATGGCCGCTTTAGTTTAAAACCCGACGGCCTTTGCGTATATGAAACAACTAAACAAGACAGCATATAATTTCAGTGTATCTTTAATATTGATTCCCTTTTTTATTATATTGAATTTTTTAAATAAAAAAGAAAGCAAAGTTATTTGCAAGCGAGAATTTGAAATCATTTTATTGCAAACTCAAAGTTTATCGATAAAGCCATTTAATTAAAGGCAGTTAGTAAAGAGCACTTTAAAACTTTTGTTAGTGGTTGAATTTTACCTTAAATTGAGGCTTATATTACGTATAATAACATACCTAACATATATATGTTGGGAAATTAATAATTTTGTAATTAAAAGTGATATTTTTAGGCGATTTTTCATTCGTAAGAATATTCTTAAAAAATTATCGTGTTACCATGACAACTATTTTAGAACTTCGTGTTCGGAAAATACAATGGTTTTGTCAGCAAGGCGAGGGTTTCTGCATGCATGTATTTTCTAGTATTTATTAATAATAGTATTTGAAATGTATCTATACTTTTTCTACTGTCTTTGTTTATTCTGTTGTTCAGCCAAAACCCAAATCTATTGTATTATTTAAAAGTCCAAGAAATAGAGATTACGTCATGGTTGACGAGTGCGTACGATTTTTATTCACGAGTTGTGAAAGATTACTAACGAACGAGTGAGTTAGTAATCTTTCACAACGAGTGAATAAAAATCGTACAAACGAGTCAACCATGACGTAATTTGTTTATTATATATATAATGAACCGTTATAAATCGACAAAAATGACTTTATAACGGTGGCCAATTGATAACAAAGCCTGACTTGAATGGTCCAAGGACAAATCAAATGTGTTTACAACATTTATTAGTTTAACTCTTTATCGTCCGGCGATAAATTTCATATTTTTCATTCAATTGCTGCCGATGTAAATATCTCAAAGAGTATTTACCCCCCTTTAAAACGGAAACCACCGTTGAAATCCTCATAAAATAACCTTTCGAACGGGGGGTTAAATGCCGTTATAACAGTACACAAACCAAAACAATCGTGTATTTTACTCACCGCTTTGCCAAATATTCTGTATTTCATAACCAGAAAATCTTGAATATCTCCTGAACTCCTTGGAATTCCCCACAAGTCAATCTGAGTGAAATACTCCTTGTATTCAAGCGCTTTCGTGTGGAAAATTTCGTTTGAATACGGCCAGTAGAAATATATTTATTTTGATTTTTTCAAAATATCGGGTTTTTACTCGCACGCGCCCGCCACACGCTAAAATTGGCCAATAAGGGAGCACCCGTAGCCCGATGCACGTGCAAATCACGCTGCAGGTGTAATTTGACCTTTAGAATCGATTTCCGACGTTTCCCGAGCGATAGGATTTAAACAACGCAATGTTTTGGCAGATCTAAAGTGTATTTCCGGTCGAACCGCCGTCGAAGCTCTCGCGTAAAATTTAGATATTTTGAAATTTCGAAATAAAAGATGCAAATCTGTTGATACAAGCTTGAAAATAACACTCTAAATAGTGTTTTGGATTGTGATTCGAACAAGACTATTATGAAAAAGATATCTTGAAAGGGGCCGAAGTTATGTTCGGCGAAAGGTATGCCTTTGTGATACATTTTATTACATTCTTACATTTTTCGGGAATATTGTGTAATCTAGTGAAATATGACACCGCTTGCCCTCTAAAGGTCGTAAATCGCTATAATGTTGACATTTTATTATATCTATCGATAGAAATTTTTTCACTGAATCGAATGGTGTTATTTTCATCTATATAGCATGCACTGAACCGAAAATATGAACCTGCAAAATACCAGGTCGGTTTCGACCTGGTTATTTCAGCACCAAACGAAAAAGAGTTAACATATGAAAAAGTGAAAACAATCATCCTAACAAATTAACAATCAACATCGAGATCAACATATACAGCTATGAAGATCTAATATAGCCAAAAGGAAGCCATTTGACAACTGAACACATAAAAATACATAATTAGACAAGTTGTCGCCACCTATACCGGTGGCTATAAAAACTGTATAAACTGTTTCAAAAAATTGTAGTTCAATCTGACTCAGAATCGCTCAGAAGTTTTAAACGTTTGTATGTTTTTGGTGGGCTATCCACATTTGTTATAGATAGTGTTGGAGACTGCTTGAGAGTATTTATTGATATATTTATACTCCCTCCACTAATCGTTGCGTTCGAAAACAGCGCCGGCATAGCATGTTCTTGGACATTGTGTTCGCTTGTCGTTTTCTGTCTGTTCGTCGACGAGTGAACTTCAACCCCTGAGTTTCCAGTGGTCAAGTTAGACAAATGACTCAGCTTTCCAGTGGCAACTGAACTGAGAGTTCTCGACATTTCCATTTGCTGTGACTTGTTGACAGTGGAATAATGAGTAACACTCTGCAGGTTCTTGTGGCCCGACAGTTGAATAATGTGGAAAGTTTTGGTTTACCAAGGCCTGCATCATTGTTTTCCTTCCGCTGTGGTTGGTAAATTTGGTAGTAAGTCCAGCTTTCGCAGCCATGTTCTTCATTATCGAATTTAGTTTATTAACCCCGGCGGGGGCTTTTTTGAACCAAGCTTTACATGAAACGGATTCAGGTTTCTTTAAATTGTTTACAGCAAGATAAAATGGGCTATCGTCGCTGTTCATTTCTGCCGGACGTTTTTCCGCAAAAAGTTTGTACGCAGCAATAGGATCTCTTTTATTTCCTTGTACGGAAAACATTTTTGGAGTTACTTTTCGCACATCTCTGGTGTTTTCCCCCGAGCGTGTTTTCGTTTGCCTTTCGTTGTATTCCAAATATTCCTCGCCAGAGACCGTTTTATGTAATTTCACGTCGCCCCAAGTCATATCGCGATGCTCTTTACAGCCACGTAATCCAAAGTGTATTGTATTGTTGAACCAAAGAGTGTTCAGAGTAAAGCATCGGGACTGGATGTGCCCAGCAAGTCTTTTTCATACAAAACAGCTATGTCGTCTTCGCTGAGACCAGATGAAGCATTCGGTTTATTTCCTTTCCCCTGTCGTTTTAAATCCTTTTGTTTTGAAACCAAAGCTTTTCGAGTCTGTTCAAACTGTAGATCTTTCATGATACTTAAACCATAGTTTTTCTTTTTTAAATGTCTTTTGAAGCTGGCTACCATACCGCGCAGGGAATTTGGCTCGTAATCCTTATTTTGTTTTGTACGAACCTTAATAATAAACTCGCTCAGGTAAAGGTTTAATTCCGCAGAAGGAATGTCCTCAATGCTTCTAGTTTCATTCTTGCTACTAAGAAACTCATTTAATAATGATAGATTTTGTCCAGTTTTTCTCTTTGTGTTTTCATTTTCTTGTTGTTCGATGAATTCGTCGACAGAAATGTCAAGGTCTGCAAAACGGGAAGCCATGGCCGGTAATTGGCGGGAAAATTCGATACTTTTTTTTCACATGTGAGAAAAATCGTCCGCGATCTCTGATTGGTCGGACGATTTTTTTCACATGTGAGGAACATCGTCTCAATTACGCAATGCGTCGTAGATGAGTTTTATCTTGGCACTTGCCGAGTGTGAATATTACGGTATGTATATAATAAAAGGTAATATTAAGAGCTCTTTTTATAGAAATATTAAATGGGAATAAACACATTTTAAAAGCTTATTTATGAATAAAAACCTTGTTTACATATTCCCTGCCAAAATGACATGTAGACGTATTGTTACAACACAATTCAACACAATGCAGGGATGTGAAGGCTATCAATAATTAAATGTCGGCGCATCCTGGCGGGCATTTTGGCCGGCAAATTGAAATAAATTTGAAAACAAAGTTTACACATCTATACTGATATACGTAATTTATGTGTGTATATTAAAATATGTTGACAGTTGATACATGTACATATTAAAAACTCAAAAAGAACAAATAAACTAGTATATACAGTTTATAGTAGTCACATATATGCTACAAACAACAATGCCATGCATCATCAACGTTGACAACGTATCTGTCTGGCCACATACTATTTACACAATAGATGTGGTACCATTTTTGACATGTTTCAATACCACACTTAACCAGAGTCATCAACATCAATGTCTTCTTCATTTTCATCTACATCTTCCTGATGACCTTTAGAAAAAATAAAACATGAGAATGTACAATATTTAACTGTACACATTATTAAACACTTTCATAATGATACTGAGAAAAGGCAAGGATATGGCTATACAGGGTGTATAAAAAAAGGCCACTCAATTCCACAATTCTGTTCATGAAATGTAATTTTTGCTATATATGGATTGCTTCAGTTCTTAAATTATGGAAAATATAAAAAAAATTGAAAATAGTAAATTTTGCTATCCGGAGGGTGTGGTCAACTTTTGCTCCACTAAAAGTGGCTTGCGCACGGAAATGACAAACGGTATTCTTTATGTGAGTTCATGTATGAAAAGTTCGCTATTTGTTGCATTTATGATAAAATTTCGGCAGGATTTTACCGAGTACAAAATCCTCCGAAAAGCCTATGAAAACGTTACATGTTTCTCTGTTGGTGCTGTTCTTGCTTCATTATGAATTCATTTTTACTCCCATGAGAGTTCCATGGATCGACACATTTTGTAAAGATTATCTCATTTGATTTCCGGTCAATGTGTTTGGTCATAAACCTCATCTCAAGTACAATTTTTTTATTCATACGGAGTTGGCCAACTGCAATCAAGTGACAGCGATATCTTCATGGAGGAGATACCGCAATACAAGACACCTTCAAATGACGGCCAGGCACGTCCTTTTCAAAGGCATGATTTTTGTGCCAACAAAACCTGTGGAGGTACGTGTGGTTGGGTTGATGGTGATTACAGTGTTGGTGGTAGTAATCATGGTAGATCACTCTCTTTTAAATACTTTGAGTTATTTTTTAATAAAATACAAGAATAAAAATATTTCACTGATATGAGTTTTCCAAGGGAAATTTTTTTGAATATTGTTATTGACAATAAGTTGTGTTGTACAATTTGGTAAGTGCAAATCATATTTTAGTGATAGTATGCACTCGCATTATAATTGTATTTCCTTTGATGGTTTAATTTACAGGTTTGGTTAATTGCTTTTAGCCAAGACATTCTAGAGGAACCACAATTGTGTTGCGAAGGACATGCATGCCTTTTGTAAAAGTTTGAAACCTACTTAGTTGAGCATCACAACAGGTGTTGTCCTAATGATCGGAGTCCACTGCTGCCTGCATATCTAAGGCGAATCTTCAAGGATATTTGGAGAATCAAGAAGTTAGGTGACCAGAGAGGAATGAAGATAACGATGATACCTGCGCTTTTGGGAGGGACAGCTTTCAGCAGTAAGACAGCATCAACAAGGGTGCTTGTATGTTGAAGTTGGCTGTTGCTACACTAGCTGTGGGCACCGATGCCAAAGACAACTCGTTGTAGGTAATGAAAGCAACTGTGACTATGCCGATGCAATATGTCATCAATGTTGGCAGCATGGACTTTAAAGAATGGATGTGCACATCTCCTTCTCCTGTGCTAGAACAAATATATATTGTCCACTATCGTGTCATTCTAGTATACCAAGGTAAAAATAATATGCCGTGGTAAAGATCAGGGGTACAGTGTAGCTAGACAGTTACAATATAAAGTGAGAGAAAGTTTAGAGCCAATAGCCTGAAATATATATCAATATGAAAAAGAGGTAGAAAACTTTTAATTCAGTGTGATTTATGCATTGAGAAAGTTTGAGTGAATTTTCGTTTTAGAGAGTTTCTAACATATCATGTATTGGGGCAGTGTTCAAACGGTATGGTGCCATGTCAAATTCCTGGGCATGGATGAGGCGAAGAGATCGGTCAGGTCAGGCCACATATCTGTACTATTTAATAAATTATTATATTATTTCATTTTTTTTATTTTTTACTGTTGTTAACAGTATATCACTGTTATCAGTGAAAGCAATGGTGCATTATTTTCGCCCTCTGATCAGTGACAGCCAACAGTTGACCGTCATCAGCCACACAACAGTTTTTAGTAAAGGGCATCGTTATGGTAATTTTGGGCATCTCACATGCTTGAACTGACGTTAAAGGAAATGAAAATTTCGAGTCTAATTTTTATATATTTACGTAGACTTAACCAAGGGCAGCTGCAAAAAAATAGAACTATATAGGTCTCTGGCTAGAAATTCCTGGACTTTCAGTACATTTTTCGCAGCCGCTTCGTTTTTATAGGTCTAAATAACACTCAGAATTTCCACCTGTTACAGTATTATTCAACATTAATGGTTATGGTAACAATGTGAATTGCCTACACAAACAGTCATATCCAGTTGTAACTTCAATTTATTTAATATTAAATAGTATGAACTACAATCCTGGCAAAAATTATGTGGACACCTAACTTTCCTAACGCCAATATTAACATTGAGACGTTCTTTCGTGAAATTTGTCACCACCTGCCCCGTATTCAATGTTGTTTCTCGCATTCAAATTTTAAAAGTTTCATTTAGCAACATTGAGTTGGGGGTAGGAGGGGGGGGGGGGAATTTTCTGGCCGATTAATTATG